TCAAATGAAAGTTCTCTGGGGGCTGATGGCAAAAGTGCCACATCAATAAGCTGGCATTCACTAAGAGGTTTCCTGATTGTTACAAATACCCAGTGCTTCAATCTTGCATTGATTCCATTTCATTGTTTGACTCTTCTTTGTGAAAATTGAAGAGCATGCAAGAAATCCTCATAATTTTGCAGCTGCGGTCTACCAGAGACCATGAGATAAAGGGAAGGAAGTGAGTTATTAATAACTGATAGAGCTGACAAGAAGTACTGTATGTTTCAGGGCAACTGGTTACAGTGGGGTGGGGGCATAGCTTACTAAAATGTAGAACATTATGTGACATTTGAAGCTCTTAGTTATGCCACCTTAATTGTAGTTTAAGTATATAATCAAGGGGGAATTTCATTTGTCACAGAATGTTTTACATTCTAGCTTAAATTGAACATCTACCTCATGGTTGTCACTCTGGGTGGAATGCTGGCCAACAATGAAGAAACACAAACAGACCCTGCACACAATGGAAATGCGAATGATCAGAGATGATCATTGGGGGTCATGAGGTTGGATCATATGATGAATGAAGACATCCGAAAGGCCTTCAAAGTCGCCCCATTTCTAGACAAAATGAGAGAAGTGAAGATGTGATGGTACAGACATCTGGTCAGAGCTGGTGCAGAATCCATCACAAGGCGGACACTTGCACTCAGTCCAGACAGCTGGCAGCCCCAAGGCAGATGAAAAAAAGCAATGGCCTGCCTGCCTGCATGAAGACATGCAAGCTGAAGTCACATGCCCCACTGCAGATTGAACTGAGTGGTGGGCGAAATGCAAAACGGACCCCGTGATATGACAGGAATAATGCAAAGAACAAGAGATTGTAAATTAAATATAGTTTGTAAAATGGTTGAAGAGTACATGGAGTGTTAAGTGTTCCTGCTGGCCTATCTAAGATAACTATGGCTTAAACGTAAGCCCTATTCAGAGTTAACAATGGAACTGATACTGTGTGCTTTCTGTCTCCACCTGCAATTCTTTTTATAACTGTGTAATCCCTTGCTTCAGGGTGTAGTCTGCGTGAATGAGTGGAGCTGAGCATTTACTGTCTGAATGCCCTTCCTAATGCCTATGCGGAGTTTGCAGCAGGTATTTTCTCTTTGTACCCTGATCAAGAAACTTCTGTCTTTGTCTAGGATTGAACTCTCAACCTTCCAAGTGGGAGGTGAGAGTCTTCACTTCTAGGCCAACACACCTCTAGACCTCTCTCCATCTGCAAATGCATCCCTATTTCTGTTGCTTTGCCTCTTACATATCCATTCATTTAGCAAATGGTTCATCCATGCAATCTAAATTTAGTGTGATCAAGCTCTTAATTCCATGAAGTTAATACCAGTATGGCTACCTTCCCCTTCAAAGGATCCCACATATACTAGTGATAGAGACTCATCAGAAAGCTGATGGTTATCAGGATAAAGGATGTTCTTTCTCTTCCATCCATGGAAAAAGAATTTATAAAATGGGTTCAGATGAGCTTCACAACGCAATCCCATCTGATACTCCTAAATAATCTTTATATAGTGGGGATATTTCAAAATTATTTAGGAGCATCAAATAGACAAATGATAGTCTTATGTTTGATCTTTGGGCCAATGGTGGTTTTATTAGAAATGTTATTAAAAGGGTTTACCCAAAGAGATGACTAGGGAGCAGAGATACATTCCTATGTATAAGGGAACATTCATGCATACCAGTTATACATAGGAAGGCAACTTCCTATACATGAGTACCCAGAATGAGGCTTATGAACATTTCTAATCTTGATTATGATGAAACATGCATTATGACATCACATCACAAGTTTCAGCCTTTGGTGTTTTGTGCAATACATTATAATATACATTTCAACACCTGCCCCTCTTATAACTTGTTGATTTATTATGCACCATCAAGTCCGTGTGTGTGTGTGTGTGTGTGTGTGTGTGTGTGTGTGTGTGTGTGGAGTTAGTGAAGTACAAATTGGACTCACCCATCATGCCAAATCACAGTGTGGTTTGACTTAGCTTACTGTATGAGTTCAATTCAGCTGAGCAAACTAGGGTCTGTGTATTTATACAAGTATTTTATGGAGATTTTTGTGTTGCCTACTCAATCAATTCTAGGCAGTTTATAATCCTAAACCAATATATGGAACCACCTAATTATAGGTTATTAAAGAACTCATTATAAAGATAACCGTAGATTAGTGTACTCTCCAGCACAATGTCATCTAGTGAAAACTAGATTTGAATTTGGCTCTCCTTAGTCATTGCTCATTACTTCTAAACCATATCTGATCTTATTCAGATCAGATGGAGAAGACTACATGGACATGTTATGTCCATTCTTCTCATTGCAGATGAGCATTCATCTTTGGCTCCAATGACTTTTGGAAACCCTTGAAGTGGTAGAGGAATTATCCAAGGGCTTTGAAAACAGAGAGTGTTCTCTATAGAGGGGTCTCCAACCTTGGCAATTTTAAGCCTGGAGGACATCAACTCCCAGAATTCTGGGAGTTGAAGTCCTCCAGACTTAAAGTTGCCAAGGTTGGAGACCCCTGCTCTATAGTGAGCAAATATCATGAGAGAAAGATAGATTTTCATACAATTCCGGTATTTCTGCTGACATTTGATATAGTTTTGGGCCCAATTTTGGTGATCTTCCAGAAGGTTCTTAAAATGGAGCCTTCCCAAACGCATTATGGGCTGACACCAGATGTCTTTGATTTGGGTTTGTCTATTTTATTGTGCGTTTTATTTTATTTTAAAAGTTACTGCTATTTTTCTTTATGCTGTGAGCCACCAGGAATTTATGTACAAGTGTATATAAATGCATGCATACTAAATATGTAATTATATAGTACTGCTGTCAGGACAGAAAAAAGGGACAGCATGCAGATACAATCAGTTTCACTTTCTGGACAGGGCTTGTGGCAAATGTTCACAGAGTCTATCACTGAAAGTCCTGTGGCTAGGACATTGCTGCAACAAATTGATTTTTATTTCAAAGAAGAAAATAACAGGTATGACTGTGAGGGACATTTTTATCAACTGAAAATAAGCAGCCTAAACTAAAGTTTATAGATGGACATAAGAGAAGAGAAGAGAAGAGAAGGGAAGGGAAGGGAAGGGAAGGGAAGGGAAGGGGGAAGGGGAGGGGAGGGGAGAGGAGAGGAGAGGAGAGGGGAAGGGGTAGGGGAAAGGATGGGGAGAGGAGAGGCAAGAGGAAGGGAGAGGAGAGGAGAGAAGAGAAGAGGGAAAGGGGTAGGGGGAAAGGATGGGGAGAGGAGAGGGGAAGGGGTAGGGGTAGGGGGAAAGGATGAGGAGAGGAGAGGAGAGGCCTGTGAAATGAGCTTGGCTGAAAGAGAATGACTGGCCCAAACCCACGAAGCTGTCTTTCATCCTTAAGGCAGGACTAGAACTCACAGTCTCCTGGCTTCTAACTTGATGCCTTAACCATTAGACCTTTATTTTTATTTTCCCTGTAAATTCTAGCCAGGAAAATTTTAAGCAGAACAGCAGTTCTTGATCATCATTCACTGGGTATGATTCCATGCCATTCTTAAAAGCAGGAGCATATGTATATGTGTGTGTATGTGGAAGCTGTATCAAAAAATTAAGATAGTGGCCACAACCGTGCAATAAAATCCTGTCCATTTTTATATCTGTCACTCACACAATGTCCATTAAAAATGAACAGGGCTCACAGAATCTCTGAATCAATTGATTGCATCCAATGGAATAGGGTGCTTACCATAGATTTTTATCATGCAATGTGCAGTTGTACTAATGTGTGAATGCAAACATTCTTCCCCCCCCTCCCCCCGGACTAAATCAATTTTGGGATGCTTCACGCACCATTTCTGAGTGAGCTCTTTTATGCAACTGTTAATAACAGATTCAATTAGTAAACTTTAAGCAACATACTATGCGGTAAAAGCTAACAGAGATAAGCATAAGAAACTCTGCAGATGGGGAAGATCCAAAGAAATACAGGAACAGCAGGAACTCTGTTCCCTCCTACTTTTCTATAGATATTTCTCTTTAATACATCTAGTAGCCTAAAGTTAGCACCCTTTGTTTGCTGACCAATTGACGTTACAAAGGCACTGAGAAAAATGATTTATGAACTGTCCTCATACTGTGACAGTTGCAGCATCTGCACACTCACGTGATCAAAATTGGGAGTGAGCTTGGCAAGAAGCAGGTATGTACAATGGTTGCAGCATTCCGAGGTCACATGATCACCATTTGTGACCTTCCCAGCCAGTTTCTGATAAGCAAAGTCAATGGTGGAAGCTGGATTTGCTTAACAACCATGTGATTCACTTAACAAACACAGTGATTCACTTAGCAACCATGGCAAAAATAGTTGTAAAATTAAATGTGTCTTCACGTAACAACCACCTTAGTAATGGAAATCCTGGATCAATTGTAGACCTAAATCAGTGGTGAAATACACCCGGTGCGGACCAGATCGCCCAATCCGGTAGCGATGGCAGCGGGTGGTTCGGAGAATTGGTAGCAAAGATCCCTGTGCCCCCCCCCCATGCCCAGCTGAGCTGCGCGATCATCAGAGGCTGGGTTTTTTTACTTTTAAAAGCATTTTTTCTACAACCTCTTCGGCCGAAAAAATGCTTTTAAAAGTAAAAAAAAAAAAGCCTCCGATGATCGTGCGGCTCAGCCAGGGCTGGATTTTCCTATAGGCTAACTAGGCTTCAGCCTAGGGCCTCAAGATCAAGAGGGGCCTACACAGAGGTGGGATTCTGCCGGTTCTTAAATTGCTGGCTTGCCCCGCCCCTTGCCAATAAATAGTGGGGGTGGGGCGGGGCGAGCCAGTAATTTAACAAACGGTTCGGTGTTTTTTTAATTTATTGGCCTCGCAGCAGTGGTGGGTTGCTGCTGGCTGGCCACGCCCCCGAACCAGTCCCATCGCTCGCCCCAACTGCCCGACGCTCGCTCGCCCCGCCCCCTCCACCCAGTCACTCCTCAGTGATCCTGTGTGGGTCCTCGCTTGCAGCTTGCCTGCCTAAAGTACTGCGCCTGCCAGGTAAGCCTGTGAGTTGCGGCCTACCTAGCTGCCCCTGGCCCCCCTCTGCCCCCACCATCCCAACCTGCCTCCCCTACTCCCTTCCCCGCAGCCCGTAGCCCTGCCATAGTTCCCTGGCTTCCACATGGCCTTCCCAGTGTCCCCGAGACCAGCTTGCGAAGGCAGGGAAGCGGGCTTGGCTCCCGGGACTGCCGGGAAGGCAGGCAAGCATGGCAGGGCCACCCGGCTGTGGGGAAGAGAGCTAGCAGCTTCCTTCCTTCCCCGAAGCTCTGCCATGCTTGCCTGCCTTCCAGGCTGCCTTCCAGGCATCCCCAGCTTGCCATCCACCCCCACCCCACTTCCCTTTTAGCTTTCTTTAATGCGCCCCGCTTCTCTCCCCAAACCTTGGGAGGCGGCGGCGTCCACGCCGCAAAGCCCTCCAAGCAGCCGCAGGAGGGGAAAAGAAAAAAAACCCCTTGGCTTCTGAAGCCTTCGAAGGTGTATGTGTGTGTGTTTGACTGCACTGAAGTGAGCCACGTGAAGGGAGCCCGCTGGGTAACAACGCCGGCTGCGATCGCTGCTGCCTCCACCTCTGCCTCTCTCTGCAAATAGAAGTCAGAGAGGAAAAAGGAGCGTTTCTCCGCATTTCATCCCAAATCAGCCGCCCTCACTGGAAACACGGAGAAGCGCTCAGCAAAGCAACTGCTTTTTCCCCTCCGACTTCTATGGAGGCAGAGAGAAGGAAGAGGCAGAGGTGGCAGGATCGCGTGGCTCACTTTAGCGCTGCCAAACACACACACCCCTTCAAAGCCTTTTCTTTTCTTCCCCCCCCCCTGCAGCCACCTCGAGGGCTTTGGGGAGGGAAGCGGGACACGTTAAAGGCTGGCTGAGGAACTCTGGAGTTGAAGTCCCAGTTGAAGTCTCAGTTTAATAGTCACTAATTGTACTGGAGAAAGGTCATTTTCAAGACTTAAAAATATCAAAAATCAATTAAGAAGCACAATGACCCAGAAGAGGTTGTCTTCATTGAGTATTTTGTGCATCAAAAATGAGACCCTCAGAAAAATAGATTTTGATGAACTTATAGAAGAATTCTGTGTGAAAAAGTTTAGAGAGAAATTCTTCTAATCTACTATTTCATTTTAAATGTATACTTGGATTGAATCAGTTCTTAAATAAAATAACTATTAACATAAAATTTAATATGATATACAATTTGATATTTTCTTTTTTGTGATCTGGATTTTGTTTGAATAAAGTTCCATTTTTGGTTTAGTTTAAGACTTAAAATTCATAATAATTCATATTTAAACTTTAAATGCGAATTATTATGAAATAAATTTATCTGAATTGAATTTGGTTTAATCTTCAATGTATTGAATATATTTAATTTAATTTGATAGAAAATATGATAATTTTTATTGCGTATTTTATTTTTGTAGTCAAAGATTTTCATTATTTGAATTTTGTTTCTTTGTAAATGTTGTGTGTTATGTTTGATTAGTTATTGTTACAAGTACTATATATGGTGCTGAGAATAAATGTCCAAATAAGTGTTCTCGACTTTTTTTTATTTATTATCCGTGCCACATTTTTTATAAAGGTTAGTACCAATCACAACATGTTTCATTTAACATATTGATATATATCACAGTAATGATGTATTTTATTATCTCTCATGTAATTTACAAACTTAAAAATGGGAGGTGAAAGGGCCTCATAAGTGGAATAGCCTAGGGCCTCTTTTCATCTAAATCCGGCCCTGGGCTCAGCTGGGATCGTCAGAGGCTTTTAAAAGCATTTTTTTTCAACCTCTTCTACCAAAGAAGTTGTAGGAAAAAAAATGCCTTTAAAAGCCTCTGGCGATCCTAGCTGAGCTGCTTGATCGTCAAAGGCTTCTAATGCTTTTAGAAGCCTCTTTGGCCGAAGAGGTGGTAGAAAAAATGCTTTTAAAAGTTAAAAAAAAAAGTTGGCCACGCCCACCCAGTCACATTACACCACCACCACCAAGCCATGCCCACGGTAGTAACAAATTTTAGATTTCACCCTGACCTAAATTGAGGACTACTTGTAACACACTGGTATTTTACTGTAATTTGTTGCCTAAGCCAAAACAACTAGATTACTGACATGAGTTGGGTTTCATTTTACAACAGCTGGTAAATATGTGTTTGGCTTGATTAGGAGAGTTTAAATTGAGGATTTAAAGAACTGGAGATAAAAATTCTGACTCAATGACCTGAGGTAAAGTCTTATGCATTGCAAAAGGATGTAGGAGTGTAGCTCTAATGATCTTATTAAAGTACTCAGTATAAGATTGCTGAAAGAATACAAATTTGTCTGTAGCTTCAAAAAGGAGGAGCCAAGGAATTACAAACCAGCCAGTCAGAAGATTCTAAAGCAGACCATAAAGAGAATCTGCAAGCATCCTGAAAACAATAGTATTAATTTCAAGGAAGACAACATGAATCTGTCACAAACAAAAAAAGGGTTGTTGTTGTTGTTTTTAAAAAAATGGATTTGACATCCACAATGCAGTGATAATCCACTGAATCCGCCCACTGCCTCTGTTAATGCAGGTAACAATTTGCATACATAGCCAAGGTAATTATTAAGATATCCTATATCACACTGAAGGGAACTAGGCTCAAAAGCAGCCATGTTCTATGTGACTAGCATTATATTGCAAAAGTACATCTCAGGTGATCCAAGTATTAAATTTAGAGATGAGAACAATCGCAGTTTTGGGTATTCTTGTTTGCTTGTTTATTTGTGTGTGGAGAGAGAGAGAGAGAGGAAGAATTAAGAAAACCAGAAAATAAAATAAAAAATAGCCCTAAATTAAAGATGAGAAATGTTTACACCTCTAGTTATTCTCAGGAGTCCCAGTCAGTAAAATCCAGGTGTGAAGGATATTGGGGCCACAGGGTTCTATCCTTGTTCCAGCTTTTTATCCATAATATATTGAAGAGGGGGGTCAAGCTGCTGAAAATTTGGGACAAATTATTATTATTATTATTATTGTTGTTGTTGTTGTTGTTGTTGTTGTTGTTATTGTTATTCTCTTTTATTCATTAAAAATGAAACTCAGTCAACTGGACATTTAAAAATGTGTCACAAATACCATTGACTGGTACTAATGGTTGATACAGGTTGCTGCCAGCGTCCTAGGTATCAACCAAGTATCTTCTTAAAATATATGATGTTCCGAATAGCACAGTTTTTTGCAGTTCCACTGGTGTTATTTCAGGAAGCTGCAATTTCTTGGTGTGCTTTGAAAATTCTTGGACATGGTACCAAGTGCCCCAATGACAATGGGTATCACTGTGACATGTTTCATCCATAGCCATGTAGTTTCGATGGCCAGGTTGCAATATTTCATTATTTTTTCCAGTTCTTTTTCTTCAACTCTGGCGTCTCCTGGGACCACAATGTCAATAAACTGTACATTTTGGTTTTCGACAACTGTGATATCTGGCATCTTGTGTTCCAAGTGACAATCTGTCTGTATTTGAAAGTCCCACAAGATCTTCATCTTCTCATTTTGTATAACTTTTTCCATTTTATGTGCCCATGACTTTTTGGATACAGGAAAGTTGTATTTTTTACATAATGACCAGTGGATTAATTTAGCAACTCTTGTCGTGTCTAGCTTTGTAATCAGTTTATGCGATTTTGCGGCATTCACATATTAAATGTGAAACAGTTTCGACTTTGTTGTTGCAAGGTCAGCAGTTTGGATTGTCGGTGGATTTTTGTATCTTTGCTTTCATGGCATTAGTTTGTAGTGCTTGTTCTTGAGCAGCGAGTATTAAACCTTCCATTTCTTTCTTGATGGTTCCCATCTTAAGCCATGCCCATGTAAAGTTGTCATCACATTTTCCTTCAATGTTTTTCAAATGCTGTCCATGCAAAGATTTGGTTTTCCATCTATTTAATCTGTCATCCATCTGTTATATTCTGCCTTTGTTTCTGTTGTTTTTATAATATTCTCATTTTCACAGCCTGCAGCAATTTTTCTGTACTTTGTTTTTTTTTCTTCTACAGTTTGATGGATTTGCAATAGTCCCCTCCCCCCCTATTTTTCTTGGCAGGTACAACCTGTCGATGTCACTTTGTTGATGGAAAATAATAATAATAATAATAATAATAATAATAATAATAATAATAATAATAAGTATTGAAAAGTATTGAAGGCAAAGCTGACCAGAAACTAACTTGGAACTGGTTAAGATCAGGAGTACTGAAAAAGAAACAGAAAGCTTTATTTTGGCAGCTCAAGAACAAGCCCTAGCCACAAACTGCATGAAGGCAAAAATTCAACATGTTACCACCAACAGCAAATGCCGCCTCTGCAATGAGAAAGATGAGACAGTCGACCACCTGATCAGTGGATGCAGCAAAATTTCATAAACTGATTACCTACAACGCCATGACCGTGTTGCTAAGATCATTCACTGGAAATTGTGCCAGAAGTTTGGATTTGAGTACAGCAAAAACCACTGGGAACATCAAGTTGAGAAAGTTTTAGAGAATGAGAAACTCAAGATCTTGTGGGACTTTAGGATTCAGACTGACAGGCACTTGGTCCACAACACACCTGACATAACAATAGTTGAAAAGAAAAAAGTATGGTTCATTGACATTGCAATACCTAGTGATGCACAGATTGAAGATAAGCAGCAAGAAAAAATCACAAAGTACAGGGACTTGCAAATTGAAGTTGAGCGACTATGGAAAAAGAAATCGTGTGTTGTCCCAATTGTAATTGGAGCCCTTGGAGCAATACCCAAAGGGCTACCCCGCTATTTAGAAATTCTAAATTTGCTGGACTTGAACATTTTGACTCTACAAAAAACCACCTTACTCAGAACAGCTTACATCCTCCGACATACCTTAACAATTCCTAGGTCCTTGGTTAGGACTCGAGCTGCTGAGCTATTAACCAGCCTCAAAGGCTGTGAATCTCACTAAAGATTAAATAATAATAATAATAATAATAATAATAATAATAATAATAA